TTTTGGTTTGTTTTGCTGTTACAGACAGAGGCAAAGAATGCATTAAACACCTCTGCCTTGTCCATGTCCCTGTTTGTGAGGTGCCCATCCTCATCCTGCAACAGCCTTTTGCCATTAATGTATTTAAAAATAGCTTTTTGTTTTCTCCCACATTTCTGGGCAATTTCAACTCAGGTTGGTCTTTAGCTGTATGAATTTTCTCCTTGCACCAGCAAGCTGTTTCTCTGTATTCTTCCCATGTCACCTATCCTTGCTTACACTGGGCACACACCTTCCTTTTCCAAAAGAAGATGCCTGTTCAGCAAAGCTGACCTTCTGCCTTATTTGCTTGATTTCTGACAGTTTGGAATTGTCTGCTCCTGTGCATTTCCAAGGAGTGTAAGAAACAAAAGTAAACATTTCATTTTGTCTAAGAATAAATAATTTAGTTTCAGTGGGTTTGGGGGGGCTTTTTTGGGGTTTTTTTTGGTTGGTTTTTTTTTTAATCATTTTGTGACAAAACCAGAAATTGAAACATCATCCTCTCCTATAGGGTGAAAACTCTGATATTTGCTCTCTGTGGCAAAAGAGCCACCATGATGCTGCATCTAATTTCCTCATTTAGGTTTGTGTCATTCAGACTCTGCAAAAAAATCATAGCTCTGCAGCCCTTGTACAGTGGTCTACAAATTTTAGCACACACCACAAGTTTTAATAGCATTATTAAGCCTCTTTTAGCAACACAAAGGCTGTTATAGCTGGGATGATTAAGGTGACTTGTCAGCTGTGTAGTCATAGCATCCCTGTGAGTCACTGCTGAATGTAAAGGACTAGAGGGTTGTTTTTTCAGATGAGTTCTTAGTCAGGAAAAAAACCCCTTTATTCTCTTCTTCAGTCCTGTCACAGGCAGAGCAGTAAGTGATGTTTCTGAAGTTATCACTTAGCCTGGAGCTAAGCAAACTAGGCAATTATTTAGTGAAGCAAAATGTGGGATAGTAAAAGAGCTGACCCCGCTGCCCATGTCAGAGCCCAGAGAGCCAAACTGGCTTTGGGAACCCAGAGGCTGCACAGTCCAGATGGATCTGGGACTGAAGAGCAGCAGTGTCCTGGGGCAGCAGGAAGTTTGTCTCCCCAGGGACTAAAGCTTTGCCCCCTCTTCCTCCTCTCCCCTTTTCTGTGACCAGAGGCCAACATCTCAGCTTCTTACAGCACTGCATCTTACTGGAAGCAATTTTACCTCTACTGTAAGAAACCTTGAACAAACCTGAACAAAAGGTGTTGTTTGCTGTTGCAGAGGAGCTGTGAGGCAGAAAATCTTTAAAATGGAAGCCCACACATAAGACTCCTTTGCAAAACCCTCAGTAGTGTTGGAGCAGTTGCCTCATTTTGCTGACTTAAAGTGAGATAGTGCACAGGCTTTCTTGTTGCAAAGACCTTACAGCTTTTTGGCTGAGGTTGTCCATGGATGCCTGTTCAGTTACCCTTGCATAGTTTAAGCAGTGCTGAATTCCTTTCACTTACCATTTATATGCTTCTACTTAACAATAGGCTATACTAGCTTCAAACTTTCATCCCTAAAACCAAATTTAGCAAAAAAACATGCAAATGGGACTGAAAAGATAGTTCAAGATTTGCAGAGAAATCCTTCTCATATCTGAGAATAAAGAGAGATCTGAAGAAGAAAGTGTTATCCTTCTCCAGCTGTAATTCATGGCAATGTTTTCCTAAATTAAGTTAGTTCATAAAGTCTTTATTAATATAGTATTGGATTCTTCAGTAAAATATCTGCTTTATATATCAGACTCCATGCTCTGTAAGAGATTGCCTTTTCTTGTGGTCCAGGGGAAATGCATGGATCTTCTGCTGGTTCCCCTTCCTAGATGTGTCTTTTGTACCATAGAACAGTGTCTCAGATGAGTGGATGGATCCATGGACCCACAGCAGTGGATGAGTGGAATAGTTTTAACCTTCTCTCCTCCCTGGCTGCCCCCAGTCCATGGCTAACTGTAGTGGGCAGAACAAAAGCACAGCTGCTTTGCAATTCTGCATTTTGGACCACTTCCAGAGGTACCACAAATAAGCCCTTTTGCCATGGTTCATTCAAGTGAATTTGCTTATTTTTCTGTCACTGGCCAATAGATATGATCAACTTCTCAGTGATCAGGACTGCTCAGTGTATTAGTCCTTTAAAAATAGCTCGTGTTTTTTAGGTAGAGAACATTTTAGGCACAGACAGGTAGAAGAACTGCATCTAGTAGTCAGAAAGAAAATTGAGAATTATCATTCTGATTTGATGTGAATGCATTTGCCTCACCCTATGCTTTGGTTGCTTATCAGGAGTGGAGGGCTGGTGCCTGGATGTGAGTCATCCAGCAAATATTGTTAATAACATGTTCAGTATTACCAGATTATGGGTCTAAGCAGAGGCATCCTTGGCATATGTACCCACTGAAATGAGTTACATTTGCTGCTGTAAACCTGAGTACTGAGTTACAGAAACAGCCCTCTGGTGTGCACCTCACTCCTGTACTATTAAATACTTGCCAAACTTCTTTAATTATTTCTGTATTAAAATTGTTTGTATGCAGCAAAGAATTCTGAGGTTTATTCACAACAGTGTTTGAAGCATCATGCCGTTATTTCAGAATGAATGAAATAATCACTGACAAAATTATAGCTTCTCTGCCTAGAACAGCATCCCCTTCAAACAGGATGCCAAGCTTCTGTATTAGAATTGTTTGTATGCAGCAAAAGAATTCTGCTGTTTATTCACAACAGGTTTTGAAGCATCATGCCATTATTTCAGAATGAATTAAATAATCACTGACAAAATTATAGCTTCTCTGCCTAGAACAGCATCCCCTTCAAACAGGATGCCAAGAACATTGAAGTCTCCAAGGGTATTTATAACAGAAGGAAATACTGAATATCTAGACAGAAATCCATGTTCTTTATGCCTTTTCTGTGCTTTTTCACAGGCTTGATGCTCAAAATGCTTCGGATAATATTTTCTGGTTATTCATGTGTCCAGTTCTAACTGAAAATTAATTCAGCACTTGAATACTTTTCCATTTTCACTGGTAGTCCATTTGCAGTTGTGCCACTGCTGTCAATAGGAAAAACAGCATGTTGAAAAACAGATGCTGAAAGCCTCTGAGCCACTCCCTATGTCATTAACGGGGTACTGAGGATGTTGCAAAACAACATGGACCAGAAGGGATTTAAATATAAAATTTGAAAAGAGAGCATGAATTTGACTGGTTAACAATGTGAAATGCTGTTTTAAACATAGTTATCAAGCTGTTCATTAAGAAATGCAGACGTGTCTTTTACATTTAGTCATTAGGGCAGATGATGTGAAGGAGCAGAAAATGCAAGGACAATGAAAAAAGAGTAGGCACTATAACAGCAAACTCCTGTCCTTTGACCTCATCATATCCCATCAAGGCTCTTTGATTCAGGAAATTTTCCAGCTTTCAGGGTTTCAGTTTGCATTTCAGGGGTGAACATCTGGACTGTTCCAGAATGGACTGCTGAATTGCAGAAGAGTTGGCCAGACACATTTGAGCATAGATAGCACAGTGATCTGTGGTAAACAGCCTTAAGGAGTTGCAGACACTTTTCCCCATCACACAGTTTGTTTACCTAAGAGTTGAGTTTCACAGCTTCAGCACCAGTTCTTACAAACTGTGAATTCCTTTATACCTGCCACCAAGGTCATTGGAGAAATCAGGTGCAAGTCTCATTTGCAGCCATCTCACTTGGCCTGTTTGAATGCAGATAAGAAACACCTTCAATTAATAAATGTTGTGTGAAAATCTCATTTACATTATCAATTAAAAGTGTTCAGAAGTTTTTATAGCCCTGAGTATGCAAGTTTGTGATAATCCAGGATCCTGCAATTTCTATCAGTTTCTCTCCCTTGTGAAATAAAAGCCAGATGTATGGAAGTTAGCAGTGGAGAAAGTGATTTTAAGATAGTACTGTGTCATCATTTTATTAAAAGGTCAATTAAAAAATTCCATTAAAAAGATAAGTGAAAAAATACTAAGTGCAGTCAGCCGTTCAATAGTCACCCCTCAGCAAGATGCAAAGAGGACATTCATGCTTTTAAGTTTCTTTAATAATCTGTTTCTTTTCCTCCTTGGAAGAAAAGCAACGTGCTAACTTTCAGTAATGAGGTGTAGGTCAAATGTGTTTTTCTTTTAACGATTAAGGCCTTGCTTATGAGAGAAAATATCACTTCAAAGTTGATCAAGATGAAATCTGCTTCAAGCAAACAGGTTTGAATTGAATAGAATACTTCCCTGCCTTTATGTATTTATATAATGATGGCATGGGAATATGGCAATACATCTATATTTTTCACATTATTAATTTTACCAAAGTTAGTAGTGGTGAAATGGTCTGGCATGGCCAGAAAATCTTAGGAATTATGTGTGCTCATGGGCTATGTCTGGTTTTATCCTCCTTCTGCAAGGCTCTCCCATAGAACAGTATTACACATTACAGATTGCAAACAGGAGAAAGTTATTGGGTTTTTTCTTCTTTAGCATGGAAGGCCAAGATCTCTGAGCCTTGCTGTCCAGCATGACAGCCACAGAAGAGGAGTACAAGCAGAAAGGTTGAGGAAAAAAATCTCAACCCAAAAACTTCTGATGTTTAGATGGATTTCTGCTGGAACGGGAGCCAAATGTGTAAGGCCTGAGGAGCAGCCACTGCATTGTGATGCACAAAGGCTGAACTCCTGAGTGAGTTTGCAGTGAGTAGGAAAGTGCCAGTGGGAATGGGCTCAGGAATGGAGGCTGAACATGCAGCCAGCTTCAGAAAGGCTGCAGCCTTCTGCCCTAAGGCAGCACAGCAAGGCCAGAAGAGCCAGGCTCTTGCATCTTCTGCTGCAGCCCAAGCAGGGGGTTCATATCCCAGTCAGGCTAATACTTGAGTTGCACTATTTACCAATACAATGAAAAAAACCAAAACATTACTAACCTCACTAACCTTCTATACTCTTATCTTTCTAGCAATCTTGACACAGAAGAGCTCTGTGGTAAGTTCTTTTTTTGGGAAAGAACATAATCTATGCCTGCAGCAGCCCTGTGCAAATAAACATGCCATGTGATTATTTTTTTCTGTTTAATCTTTGTAGCTCAAACAGAAAATAATTTCCACTCAGAGAACTCCTGGGAAAATGCAGATGGCTTATAATCTTTTCAGACTCTGTCATCCCATATGCGCAGAATTGCTTTGAAAATGTTTTTCCTAATCAGTATTTCACACTCTCTGAGACTCAAGATCTGTTCTGACATAAAGATAGATAGATAGATAGATAGATAGATAGATAGATAGATAGATAGATAGATAGAGAGATAGAGAGATAGATAGATCTTGTATTTTATTTCCTCTTAGTGTGAGATATCTTTTCTAGTTAGTTTCTAGCTTTAACACTTGTCATATACCCCCACTAAAAGAAAATTCATTACTTTCCTCCTACTTGAGCCAGGGAGAACAGCAAGTTTGACAAGTTCTATGATCCTTTGTCACAATAAAACTCCTGCAAGGCCTAGATTTTGGCCCAATTACCCATTTCTGTACCTCATTCTGAGCTGTGAGTCATTTCCCCAACACCCTGTTTGCTCTCCAGCTTATCTAACAGCACCTGATTTAGCAGTACTTATTGTGGCAGAAAACAATTTACAAATGTTTTTGCAGGTTCTGCCGCAAAATGTCAAAAAAAAAAACCTCATGCTTGTCAACACCAGCCAATTTCTGAGGGAAACATGGCAGCCTGATAAGCTTTCCAGTGGTCAGCAATGTTGAAGACCTTTAAAAGATGAACATTTTGTCAAGTTGAATACCAGCTCATTTACTCACCCACAGGCTGACACGGCCAAGAACCCCCTAAAAACCACCTCACCCTGTGGCTCATAAATATGTGACAAGAGGCTTATCTGAAGTGATGACAACTTGTGCTGTTTGAGCATCTGGCCAAAATTGTATAAACCTGGCTGAGGAAGAGAGGTGGTTTTGTTCCACATGGGATTTAATGCAGCTGTTGTTGCACAGGCTTGCTGGACTGTGGGGGTGACAGCCCAGCACTGACTCTGTTTATTGTGTATTTGATTAAAGACAGGCTGCTTCAAATGCCTTTTAAATCCTTCAAATGTTGCCACTAGGGTGTTTCTCATCTGTGAATCTGGTACTGAATTTACTCAATCCATATTTAAGCTTGTGATTATACAGCTCTTTCTGAGTTATATCAGTTCATCTCAGAAATTAAGCTAAAAAAACATCCAGGGTACTAACTCATAATACGTTTTCATTCTAAATAATTTAATTGAAGGTCTCAGCAATACCAGGTCACATCACAGTGTTCCTGGTAATTTATGTTTTCATGATACCCCTGAGAAGGTCATGCTGACCTCTTAAAAACCCTGAAGGGTTGCTATTTATTATTTCAAAAAGCTCCTATCTAATCTTGTTCTTCCTGTCTGCCACTTAGATGTCGATTTTTGTGCTCTTCCAGCTGATCTGATGTCTGAATGCCTTGTCTAACACAGTCTTTAAGCTTTAACATAATTTTATTTATTTATTTTTTGCACTGCTTCCTTCCTGTGCTTCCCTCTATTGTATTTCACCACATCAACCAAATGGGAAATTGGGTCATGATTTCCCAGGTTTGCTTCCTCCTCTTGCTGTGATCCCTCTGATTTTACATCAGCTTTTTCTGTTAAGAAGTTCTTTGCTTTGAGAAGCTACACAGGGACATCCTGCAGCTTGCTATTTCCACGATTTTCATTAAAATTAATTTTGCATGCATCATATTTGTTGAAAGTATCACAGCACCTGGGACTAGAAGCTTATCTGGCTAACTCATGGTCTCTTCACTTCTCAGAGAAACAGCTGCTCTCAACCAGCCCCGCCTCACAACAGCCCCCACTTGATATTATCTCCTCTAAGGGCTCTACCAGAATTACTCACTTCTTATCAACATAATCAAATTCACCACATACATATGAAAACTTCATTTGCTGCTAGTAATTTTAGACTATTAGAATGAAATTTCAATTTAGAAAGAAGGTGTAGATATTTTGAAAATAAGTTTGTTTCATCTTTCAAAATGATATTTACATTTTTTTGTGAATTTACAGCTCATTTATTGAAAGAAAATGTTTTGAAATACTGATTTTGGTATTTTAAGTATGCCAGGAATGATTTTACAGAGAAAGAATACAAAATTTAAAAAGAAAATTATCCTTTTCATTGTAACTCCTTTTCATTTTGCACTGAGATATTCAGTAATGCTGTAACTTAATTCAAACTTGATAAAGCTGGTATTTAATGAGAAACTGATTTTTGAGGACATTTGTAGGTGATGTGGGGTTTTTTCTTCTTTTAGATTATTTTTCAAAGCACTTAGGAGAGTATGAAAATGTTCTGTCTGTCTTGGAAGACTTAAATATAACCATACTGAAGGCAATGGATAAAACAAAGAAAGTAAGTAAAAATTTTGAAATTTTCTTTACATTGTATTTTTTGTTTGTTTGGAGTACTTCTGGTAGTTTTCTTATCAGAATTTACTAATTCGTATTTAAGTTCGGCCAAATATACAGGTTTGCAGCAAAATCCAGTAGGATGCTTGTCAAAATGGTTATAGACGAAATCTTTAAAGTCCTATCTGCAAACTATTACAGTTTGGATACAGCCAAAATCTTTGTGAATGCTCTAAAGAATGTTCTTTGCATTTTTGTATGAAGAGGGTTCTATGTCCCCTGCCAAATGTGGGTGAGTGTCAACACCACCATTTGGAAACAGACCAAATTTGAAAAAATAACCTGGTGGGTTGAGGGAAAGCTCCTGGCCAAGAACAAGATTTCATTTCTATTTGAGGCCTTTTAAACAAAAGCAGTGGTCACAGAGCCTGCCAAGAGGAGGTGTTAGGGCTGTTGCTCACCAGCAGAGCAAGGGGACCTGTACCCTGGAGGGAGGAGATGTTTCTCAGGGGAAGAAGGTTGGTTTATCCACCTGCACACCTGACCAGGATGTGGCACTGCTACAGGATATGCCAGACAGCCAATCCACCTGGCACCCAATTGATTGTGGCTGTACCTGCTCCTGTGTTCAGACCACATCCCAGCTGTGTGGCTGACCAAAAGTGCATCAGTACCTCAGGTGATTTGCTCCTCTTCCCTGGCTGAACAGTTAAATGTCCTGTGCAAGGTGGAACAGCTTCAAAAGGTGAGGGAAGTGAACCCAGATCCTCGAAACCCAGCCACAGATTCATACCAGGCTAGTCATCAAAACCAGAGATTTCAGCCAGAATTATTCAGTGAGATCCCCTGGGGTCAAAAAACCTTGTTGTTTTTTTTTCAGTCAATCAGTGGAAGATCAATGTGGAGAAAGCTGTGCTTCTTTAATGAAGCTGTTATCTTTGGTATTCAGGTGTTTGCAGGAGTAAAGTACTCATACATTTTACATGACCTGCCAAAATAAAAACCCAAAAGTGTAGTTTATTTATTTAGAGTTTGAGCCAGGAAGCTGAATGTCTGTTCATTCATGCTGTGCATCTTCCATTCGTAATGAACAGGCAGTGACTCACTGTTGAGCTGGATATTAAAAAGCAACAGATTGGTTCATTTTAGCTATGCATAATTTTTAAAAAATAGCCATGTGTATAAAATACTCCTGCTGAAGGGCAGGATATCATCTCATAACGACTGGAAGTAAATAAAAGACAGCATTTAAGAATTACTTCAGAAGTTATTTGCAAGGATAAGTCCCAGAAGAGTAATGAGATTATAAAAGATATGTACTGGCCTGACTAGAAATATGGATAAGAAAATCTGGAATATTAATAAGTGTTTCATATGTCTACTTGAAGAACCCATCTAAAGTATAATCCAACTACAATTTCTTTGAATTTTATTTTCTTAACTGAGGATTTAAGCTTAATGGGTTTTCTGTCTTCCAGGAATACTTCAGCTGACTATTTGTTGGAGGTGGCAGAAATAGAGCAAGGGTAAAACTGGAAAAGCATTTTTAATTCCATTTAGTAGAAACTCTGTGTGAACACAGTCAAACAAAAAAGGTGTTCTCAAATATTCTAAAATAGAACTTTCTGCCAAGGATATACTCAGGCACTACATCTTTGTATGGAAATTAAATTTTCAATTCAAAGTTTGGATTGTTTTCAGCAGGAACTCAGTTCTCAGGAAACTGGTTACATGACCTCATTATCCGAAAAATCATTGGAGTGCAAATATTAAAATTTCTACCTTAAATAGTTCAAGTTTTACTTAAGTTCATGGTCTAAAATCTGGACTTCAGACATCTAAAATCAGAGCTGGATGTGCAGCAAAATTTAATTAGCATACTGAGATAGCATAATAAATTATGATCATCACCAGTGACACACAAGATGTGAGGCAGCTCATAGCTCAAGCTGACTCCCTGCACATGCAAACAGGTGCTCAGAAATGGTTAGTGTGGTTTTAAATGGCCATTGACCTGCATCTCAGGCAAGACTTAGATCTCCTCTCCTAGTACAGCATAGAACTTTGTCACCATTCTGCCACTGCAGCCACTGAGTCCCTTGAGCAGTCACTGAGTTGTAGCAGCATTTATTACTGTCTTCAAAGTTGGAAAATTCATACATAGAAAAGAATTCTGGAACTGAAGACCTGCACTGTGGGACCAGCACACAGTGTATCTACATTGGCTGAGTCAGTTTCCAATGATCCAGACAGCATGATTTCTGTGTACTTTATTGCCCTCTGTTGTTTGAAAGAGCTGTCAGCACAGCTTTTTTGAACTGCTTTCTCCAGCCTTCCAGTCCTCTGCTGTCTGAAAGTGAAACCATCATCATCTGTGGCAGAAAACATTTCAGTGTGTTAGCACGTTCAAGAAGCTTTGACTTCCTTTCACTGTTCTGGGGCCAGATCCCTCCTGTCAAACCAAACTAAACTGCACCTGGGAAGCCCTTGGGAGTGTAGGAACCATAAACCATTCATGCTCCATTGGGAGGTGTTAAGCTAAAAACACAGAGTTAGATTTCTCCAGGAACACCTTTCAGCAGGGAAAAGACTGAGTTGCATTTGGAAGCAATATACTTCAATACAAACCTCATCTAACCAGAAGATGAGCTACAGTCTTTCTGTTTCAGTACTGTTTCCTTGTGCTATATCCTTACAGCAGGAAGGAAAGTGATGGCATCTGAGTGCACACAATTCCTGTAAATACTGAGGTACAGCTCTTCTTTTTTGGAGACAGAAGCACAGCAGGCTTGCATGGAAAGGAATGGCAGACAACACAGGAAAAGAGGGATGGAACACTGCAAATTTTCTCCTTTTCAGACTCTGTAAAATCTGCTTCTTTGCTGTGGAGGGACTTTCTTTCCTCCTTTGCAGCTCTTTTATGAAAGATACCTAATGATCTATCTGTGATAGCAAGGGACCAGACTAGGTAAACTAGCAAAATGCATTTGAGCAGTAGTGATCAAAACTGATTTATTTAAGACTGATTTTCATGCAGTATTTACATACACAAAACATAAATATTAATTTTAGGATGAAAACAAGACAATTATTCAGTGGAGCTACAAAGTTCTTGAATAGCCTTCCAAGTCTTCTGGGAGAAAAAAAACCCTAACTGCTTTTCACATGTTGCTTATAAAAACATAGAAAGGGGGGTGTGTGGTGTGCAACAGCAGGATGCTGGATTTAATGACAAACACAGCATGTCTAATTATCTGCTTCTATGAAATCATTAATTTTTCTGCTTTGCTCAAAAAACCCCAAAGCTAAACAAAGTCAGTGCAGCCTTATCATTACTTGAAAATATCTTGATTAGTCTAAAAATAGGAGCCTGTAAAGTAAAAGGGAAGATTATAAGAGCTGAGAGAGTAACACAGGGCTTGAAATTCAGTTACTGATAGTGCATTTATGGTAATTATGTTACTCACTGCAATCTTGAGGGTTGATACCCATTATAAACCGGAATGCCTAGATTTTTTTACTTGCATATTTAACTAGTAGTAACAGTAGTATTTACGTAAATTTTATCACAAAACAAATTATCTGGGAAGAAAGTTAGATAGGCATTTGTTTACAATGGTGTTCCACAACTGAAATTGTATTTGAGCACAAATGAAGTTTTTTATTGCCTTTTTGTTTTCACAAAAACGGTGTTAAATTGGCTAGCACCCATTTTTCCATGAGGTTAGAATTTACTAACATTTTTCACAGAATATAGTCTTGCTCTCTTTGAAATGACACTTTTTACAAATGCACCTTTCACAGAATTGATGCAGTGAATAGCTGCTGCCTAAGAAAAACAGGTATTGCTCTGTTTATCCTGACTATTAATTTTCATGCACTGATTTGGAAAACAGTTCGTTTGTTCCTTTAGAGTTATTGCTATTTTTTATGTCAATCAAAAATCATGGCATTATTAAGGTTTAAAATCATTCAATTTGAAAAAAATTCTTAAATTCATCAAGCCCAACAATTAACCTCCTGATACTGCCAAATCCACCACCCAACCATGTCCCCAAGTGCCACATCTACATACCTTTTAAATAAGTCCAAGGATGATGACTCCACCACTTCCTGAGAAGCCTGTTCTGGTCAGTAAGTGAACTGACTGTCTCTCAACTGAAGAGAGAAATGCTGGTGATAATGCTAAATATGTCAACAGTTCCACCCTGCTACAAGGCAGAGAGGACCCTACAAATAAAAGTTATTTTTGTCTGGCAATTTTATTAAATTTTGTTTTGGACTTTTAATTTTGTTTATTTTTAAGATTGTGACTGTTAGTGAAAGTCAAATCAAACTAAGATAAATTCAAAAAGCTGCAAGCAATTAATTCGGAGGAGTCATGCAAGGATATTCCAGACATTCATGCCTTTCCTCTTCTAGCTTCTTATCAGAGTAATGAAAACTCTTGGGAACTTCTTTGATCTTTTTTTGTGGAAGTTTTATACCTACTGGGTCAGAAAGATACAATGCTCAAATTTTTCCCAGCAGCAGAGAAGATGTGTTTGGTCAAAAATAAAGATAAAACAAAAGAAAAACCCCATTAATTTAATATTCATACCTCTAAACAGAAATTACTTCACAGCAGAAAAATAAACATTTAACTAGCCATTCTCCTCTTGATACCTATCAAAACTACCAGAGGCTTTGATGTTTTGTGTGTAGCAGTGCAGCCTTCTCCCTGGAGCAAGGGTGTTGCACATTTCCCTGCTACCTGCTAATGTCAAACACAGCCAAAACTGTTTCTTGTCTCTAAGCTATCTGATGCACCTAATAGCACTCAAATAGGAGTTACTTTTTACCCATGCATGAATTTTGTACACCCTATTATTGCAACAACAGTGCATTACTCCTTCAGTAATCCCAGTCCAGGGAGTGATAGACTGTTCTGAGAGATGCTATTACAAATATGTGACAATCTTCTTTCTAATCAGCCATGACTGCCTATTTTATTTCATTGCTGCTAAGTCAGCACAGCAGATAGTTGGCAGAAATTGTCACTGTTCCAAAGAATTTAAACACATAATTTATGCTAAATATAATATTTTGCTAAACTTGTAAAACTTGTACCATATTCCAAGTTGAATCTAATAATTGGGCACATCCTGTTTTAGATCACTTTTACAGTGAGGATGCTGTAAAAGTTACATTTGTGTGATGTCAGTACATTGAGCATCTCTCAATATTTCTAGTGAAATTATGATTTTATTCTGATGCTGTTTTGATTTCATCCTACAGTCTGAAGAATTAATTCGTAGGGATTTCATTTTAGTGAAGTTATTCTGACTAATTTTATATCTTCAATTTAAAGTTGTAACCCAGGGCCTTGTCCCTCTAATTTGGGATCTAAACATACAGGGCAGGAGACATTCCATGATAAAAGGAAATATAAATAGATTATTTCTTACTGAGTTCTACTCAGTGATAACTGCTTTTCAGTTGACTTGAGGGTATTTTCTGTCTATCTATTTCATAAATATTTTTGTGAATTTTTGTTTAATATGACATATAAATAGGAAACAGAAAATTTCTAAGTAATATATCAGTTAGAAGTGTCCCACTTCTTTTCCATCTCAATGAGCTGCTCTTGTGATAAATGGAGCAGCAGGGTCAAGGGGAGAGGGCTGAGGCTGGCACAGAGACTGAGAGGATCAAGAGTTGCTGAACCTTGGTAACCCTGAGCCAGGGACTGCACTAGGAGATTGCTAAATCCTGCCTCCTCTGCCTTTGTAAAAGGAGAACCTCTTCTGCACTTTTCTAGATAGCCTTTAGACACTTTTAAAGACCACAGTCACCTTTTCTACAGTGAAATCACTAATTATGTGCATTTTCAGTTTCATTAAACAAATCTTTGCTGCTTGCAAAGGTCACAGTTGCCTCTTGATGAGGAAAATGTGGAAAATTATCCTCATTCATTCACACTCAGTAAAACTAACAAGCAGAACAATATGTTAACACAGACTTATTTCATCTGGACTGCCCAAACTGTGGTGCAGTGTAATGTGTATGCTAATGAACAGTAACTTACAGCTGATGAAATTCAAGGAATGGGCCATTTTTCTGGTTTATGTACAGGCATCATTCATGGGTCCCATTACTGATTGGTGGCACGATGCACTGGCAGTACAAATGCTGGGCATGCCAGTTAAGTTGATTCTACCATAATATAAACCTAATAAATTAATACAAAACTGTTGTACCAGTGTGCCTCTAATAAAATACAAAATAAGGTACTTTTCAAAGGAAATAGAGTGGTGAAACAATACTAAAGCATGCCTGCTAATTCCTTAGTGCTGAGAGCTGGGCTTGAGGTTTAAATTGAATGTAATGGATATTTTTTTCCCTCTATGACTTAAATTACAATTATTCAGATCATTTATATATGCTGAATACCTTCTTCTATGATCTTTGAAGAACTTCAGAAAGACAAGTAGTAGCTGTTTTTCACTGGGCAGGAGTTGAAGCTGCCCAACATTGCTGTGAGCTCAGAATTTCTTGAATTATAAATTCTTTTAAAAAAACCCAGTAAATAATTTGTAAATTATTTGCTCAACTACATGCATTAAGACAGTTAAGTAACTCCACATAGAACAGTTGTAAGCACAAGTATTTCGGTAAAATATACATAAGGAGAGTGTCTTTGATAATTCTAGACCACCAAAGATGATATTAGCATCCTGCTTACCTTTCCCATCTTCAAAAATAGCTCTGTAAATCTGATAAGGTAACTCTAAGACATATCTAAAGATCACAAGGAACTTTTTCATAGGGAAGCCTTTAAATATAGTAGTTATGGGACAGGAATATAAAGAAAAAAAAAGACTAAATCCCAGTGCAATGCACAAACTTGGAGTAGTTATAATGAAAAAATAATCTTACTAACTTTTAGATGCCGGAAAACTTTTCTAGGTAATTTTTTTTCTGAAGGAGTTAGAAAGCAGAAGCCTCAGACAGCAACAAGTATTACACAGATGTTTATATGATCCCCATATCTGTGAGAGCCCACCTGAACAGTTTTCAAAATTAAACAATGCTGATGTACATTTAGGTTGTAATTCAGCATGCCTGTATCAGACTTACTATGAGTATCATCAGGAAGCAATATGGAGATATTTGCAATATTTACTTTCTGGATGCCCAGAATTTTAAAATACAATTCAAAATCTTACAAGAAATGGTCAGTTCTGGGTTGATTTCTTCACTTATTTTCAAGAGCAATGGCAAAAGCTGAAAAACAAATGAAAGTATACCTTGGATTTCCACTGAAAGGTTTCAGTTATATGTCCATGCTGCACAGATTCACACATGTTGTTCTAACATGCCATAAAATCAAAATTGTTGAAAATTAAATGATCTGTCAGAGTTCACTGAAATTTTAAATCAATTACAATGGAGACAGTTTAGAAGAATAAAATAACAGCTTTCCTATTGCACAAAAAGATTAAGTAATCATAGGAAGATTGCCATAAACATTGTAGACTGGTGAGTCCCTCAGGTAAACAGACAATCTCTCATGAGCATCTATTTTAAAATTTTATCAATGAAAAATTATTTGTTGGAAAGTGGCTCCCAGCTGATTAGTCTGAAGGCAGAATAAGTAAATGTAGAAGACCACAAAGCTTCTGGCTACATAAGTAACTTCTGATGATTCATGGGTGGTTTAACACCTGAGATTTCTGTAGCAGAAGTCTTCCAACAAGAACTAACTGAATAACAGATATTGTGGAAAGACTGCTCTCATTTGAGACCAAAATGGTTTTAAAGCTATTATCTGACAATCTTTCATTTTACATTCAAATTTATAAACATCTTCTATTTCTGTTCTGATTGCAAACACATACATGAAAAAAAAATCTAAGAGAAGTCTAAAAATCAGAAAGGCATTTCAGCTGTAATTAACATTGGAAAGAACATGGAATACCTTAAGAATACCAAAAATTCTCAAATGGGTTCTCAGATAGTGTAGGAGGCAACACCATGGAAGTGACAGGTCTTTAAAGCTTGGAGGTGGGGGACCATCATCTCTCTTCAGATGTGGTGACTAAAGAAATCTCTCATTGCAAGCACCTCATATTTTATGAAACTGTTTTAGATGGAATTGTGCCCAAACGTTTTCAAGATCAGCTGAGTGAGGAGCCAACAAATTCATTCAGAGCTTAAGAGATGCAAATCTATTTTCTATCTCTGTTCCTGATGTGACCTCAGCACAGTAAGCAGAGGCTCTAGAGGTCTGTTCTATCCTCTCTGTTACACTTATTAATGAGAAAAAAAGAAAGAGGGTGTTTATATTATTGTAAAGGTGGCCGCCCTCACAAAGTATTACCTATGTATTACTGCAGAACTGCCAAATCACAGGATCACATAATGAGCATGGTTGGAAGGGAACACACTGGGTTTTTGCAGATTTGGGCTTTCCAGAAACATCAAATTTGACCCCAGCCATGGAAATACGATTTATTGGGCCGGGGAGAAAACAGGAATAAAAATTGATTTCTGAAATTATCTGCACCAAAAAAACATAAATATTTTTTGATACATACAACAAATTGGAAATGTCATAATTCAAAGAAACAATACAAATTGCTAAATACAGGTGCAAACTGTATTATTTTTATAAAATAACCAAACTCTACATTTAAATGCATTTAATGAAATTGTGAAATATAGAGATATATAGATATATAGAGATATATGGTTTCAAAAATAATTAAATTAAAGGAACAAAAATCAGTCAAAGAGTGTTAAATACAGAAGGCAACCTCTCTCACACAGCCCTTCAGCCAGCTGCTGGTGGGATTTTTCAGGGGAGTATCTTAAGCATGTGCCCTGCTCAAAGACTGTTCCCATAATCAATGTCTGAGACAGGCCAGTGGGCTTGAGAAACATCTTTTTACAAAAGTGAATCTGAATTAAAATTTTAAATTCAGTTCTGCAGCTGTCAATCTTACTTTGGCTTTTCCACATTTCAGAAGTAATGTGGTGCTGCCATCAACTGGAGTTAAGGATGTAAAGAAAAGGGTCTTTTGAGTAGAAACTGTGTTGTGTCACTGTGTATTTGAGTCTCAGTTTGAGCTGGTGTTGTGCCTACACCTGGAAATTCAGAGGGCTTTTTGTCCATCAGCAAAGTTTGCTTGCATGGTTTACATTTATGAACATGGAAACATCCTACCTGCTTCTTCCTGAATGAAGTCTGAACCTTCCCTTGTGTATTTCTAACTTAGTAAGCAAAGGCTGACCTTTTGGTTTTTTGGTTTGTTTTTTTTCCATGTAATCCTTAGGACTATCAGGCAGCTTCCAATTTGGAGCAGTTTGTGACTCGCTTCCTTTTGAAGGAGACACTGAACCAGCTGCAATCTCTCCAGAACTCCCTGGAGTGTGCCATGGAAACCACGGAGGAGCAGAGCCGGCAGGAGAGGTGAGCAAAGCCCTCTTCAGCTGCAGGGAAGGGGGTGAGGAGTGAGGTCACGGCAAACCTCCACCACTGCTTTACATTTCACCTGGAAATCTGATACTGGGAATAACAGCAGAAATAAGGATACGCTTTATATTCCCTATAGGAACCCACTAATAGGAGTTTTCCTGAAATGGAATGCGTCTGATCCTGTGGTGGGCTGCCTGTAGGACAATCATTTCAGTATCTGCTAGGTTCTGCTGACTTATTTTTAAATCCCTGGACAATTTAATACCAAATGTAAAAACCAAACCACTGCAATATAAAGAGCTCTGAAATTACTAAGACAACTGACTGTTTTGTTTGTTTTTTCCAGCTTTATAATTTTTTTCCATGTACAATGAAAAATGTTAAAATAAGATAGCCAGGCTTTTGCTTGTCACAGCTTCTTCCTAGAATATATGGCCATATTCTTGTTTAACATCTAGCTCTATAAACTCTCAATCACCTGGGTAGCCTTCATCCATCCAAGGGTTTTAGCTTGATCTCTGTGAATGAGGGTTTGTAGAATCAAGGATCAAAATATTTTTGAAAAGTTACTTGGTTATATGGAATTTTTTCTTCAGTATGTTATTGTTAAAGACAATAGGGAAAGCAAAATGCAAGCTGTTGTATTTTATGGACAAAGAAGATCTTAAGACCTTTCTGTTGGAAATGTTTTGGTTTTTTTTTTTTTTCTGTTAGAAATGCAATTTTCTTGTTTGTTTTGCTGTTGGGTTTGAGATCCCTGAAGTACAGGAGTAATACTTGGTTTTATGCCAGCATCTTGACTGTAGGAATCAATCAGGTTTTGAAAGTCTGAAGGTGCACCGAACATGCACAGTGTCTGTGCACCTCTATTCATGCCATTTCCTCTGCAGTGATGCTACAAAACTCCTGTGAATGAAGAAACTGTGAATGATTACTTAGGTCAGGTCAGAACCACAGCATGCACAGGTGCTGACCTTGAGATTTGTCTCCCTCAAAGACTTAGGTTTATGCCAGTTTAACCCTCTTCTTTTTTTTTTTTTTTCTTTTAACTTGTTTAATGACCTAATCAAAACTAATGAGTAATAGTGAAAATCCAGAAAATAATTCAGTGCTCCCGACAGGTATTTCTTTTTATTTAATTCAAAAGGGAACATAGAAGCCCATTTTTTGAGAACAGAGAGAGAAGAACTCTCCCACATATTTTTCCTTAAGAAGTCTCCTGTGTTTCTTTGCAGAAAAGATCCAACAAAACCAGAAGTGCTCTCAGTTCAATGGCCAGGAAAACGCTTAGCTCGAAGGCTTCAGAGGAACAACAGCCTGTCATCAAATAACCCTTATTCTAGCACAGGTATGGTATTTCACATTTTAAACATATAGACATATATACAGAAAAATATACACAAATCTTCCTCTCAAAAATTTAATTTAGACATGTAAGTAACTCAAATACTTTACTGACAGAAGACAATTTCAATTTAATATAGAAGATATTAACTGAAAACTGAGGAAAATTAATGCATATCCATAGATTTGAAATTATAAAAGATAAAAACTTCATTGTGGGCCAAACTGTGTGTTTGGGGTTGATTCAACATTTTTTAGGTAATCTGTATTGCCTGCAGATACGAATGAAAAGGTGAAGGCTGTAACTTTGTGCAACCGAGTTCCCTGCCATGACTCACATCTCAGCTGAGGGGAAAAAATAATAAACAGAAATACAAAACCTTAAAGAAAATAATATTTAAGATAATACAAAATAAAGTCTGCAGCAGCATTTCTGGTTTGGAAAATGATAGAGTACTTTAGTAAATGGGATTTGTTGGAAGCAGTGACATTAAGCATGGGGCTGCAGTGAAGACATCTCCGTGCTTAGTTACATGTCCCAGAGTCACGGCATGAAGGTGACTGAAACAACAAAATATGCAGTGGGTCTAGCTCACTTCTTGACCAGTCACTGCTTGCAGCCATGTGCTGACTTCTTCCTTTAAAACCCTCTGCTGAGGACCTTTCTGTCCCTCACATTCATGACTCACTCCCTGCCTCTCACCAAATGATGCTGTTCTTTGAGAGCAGTGATGCAGGATGATGTTTGGTCTCTTGTGAATTTGTGTTCCTAACAAGGAAGATCACAGAGCCTTGTAGCTGCACTCCTAATTTAGAAGGAGCCCAAACAAATGCAAGCTCTACCAAATCCACTTACTATATTGGTGTAATCTTAAAGAGCTAACATTTTCCTCCACAGCTCTACTAATAGCTGACAGCTGCCTACTTTCCTACACAAGGTTTTTGTTTGTCTTGGCACTTGGTCTTCCTGCTTACTGCCCGCTGCCCACATGCAGAGCAACACTGTCGTGTGTATATGCACCCAAGGCTCAGGCCAACATTCCTTCAGCCTGTGTACCTGTTCAGGCAAAGCCACCCCCTGCCTCCTCTACCAACCACAGCTGTGGTATGTTCTCAGCATTAGGACTTCTTTCTTTGGTCAAAATATATGCAAATGCAAAAATGTGCAAAATATATGCAAGTGCAAGTCAAAATATATGCAAGTGCACAAAAGCTCTCAGCTGGGAAATAAGAAGGTTGATGAATGTGGATAACAAGAGCATTTATTGAAAAATCTTCAATTTCTGATAAATAACCTTCCTCTCTCCTTAAAGGAATCACTTATGTACATATTTACATGGTGGGTGATGTCAGGAACTTCTTTAATAATGCACATATTTGTTTCCTTGAGTATTGTCCTTTTCATTTGGCAGACACTTTTCACGAGACCATAGTAAAGCAAAACTTTCCAGAGACATTAGAGGGACTCACAGAATCACAGAATATCCTGAGTTAGAAGAGACTCATAAGGATCATCAACAACACATGGCCCTGTAGTGCCATCCCCAAGAATCACATCATGTGCCTTAGAGCATTGTCCAAATGCTTCTTGAACTCCTGGTGCTGTGACCACTTCCCTGGGGAGCCTGTTCCAGGGCCCAGCCACCCTCTAGGTGAAGAACCTTTACCTGATACCCAATTTAATTTTTTCATAAGGATCACCAACAACACATGGCCCTGTAGTGCCATCCCCAAGAATCACATCATGTGCCTTAGAGCATTGTCCAAATGCTTCTTGAACTCCTGGTGCTGTGACCACTTCCCTGGGGAGCCTGTTCCAGTGCCCAGCCACCCTCTAGGTGAAGAACCTTTACCTGATACCCAATTTAATTTTTCCCTGGCAGAGCTTGATAACATTCCCTTGGGTCCTGTCACTTGTCACTCCTACCAGAGAGAAGAGATGGGTACCCATCTCTCCTCTTCCCCTCACAAGGAATTTGCAGACTGCAATGAGGTCTCCCCTCAGTCTCCTCTTCTCCAAACTGAACCAGCTAAGTGACCTCAGCTGCTCCTTGTGTGAATTCCCCTCCAGACCCTTCACCACCTTAATAGCCCTGATGCTTGTGCCTGTCTAGAGCAGTGCTATCTAGATCCACCCTTGCTATATGACATCAGATTGGGTTGGATGGGGCACTGAGCAGTCTGATCTAGTGGAAGGTTCCCTGCCCGTGGCAGGGGAGTTGAAATTCAATGATCTTTGTAGTCCCTTCCAACACAAACCTTTCTATGATTGTATGATCAGGTCACTACACAAGAGAGGAATATACCTGCAGTGGAGATGGAGAACTCTCTTCCATTACCAGCATGATTTCAAAAGCACTGGCATTAATCTAGAATGTTGTTTTCATTCTGTATTGAATTTCTATTTTATCTTAAGCAGAAATAAATAATTCATAGAGTCAAATCATGCTTTTGTTTAGTTTCACCCAAATGAACATTGAACTAGTTGCAGCACAATCTTTCACAAAGCCAAAAAATTTGCAGGGTAATTTTTTTTTTTTTAATATAAAATACAGGAATACACTGTCTACCAACAACTTAGCAACATTTTATAAATGTTTATCTTTTATCTTTTTCAAAGGTTGGATTGAGGAAGACAGCCAATGGGTGATCCAGATAAACAGACTGCAGAAGCTAATTGATAGACTGGAAAAGAAGGTGTGCAGGCTTTTTCACCTGTTTCTTCTTTCACTTTCAGTAAAGCAGTCCTTAAATCACAAATGTTTTCAGTGCCCCAGTTGCAACATTACCTAAGAGAGCTAACACTCATTAAATGCCTCCTTTTTTTTTTCCACCTTCCTCTTTCCTATTCATGACATTGTTTTTCCATGCTTCCCTTTCCTTCTCCCATCACCACAGATTGAACTTTTCATAAAGATGGGAAAAATTGAATTATTCTATGACTGGAGGATGTTAATGTATTCAGCAGTGTTTGTTTGGGGGAGCATGCTACAACCTTCCCCTTTTAGGATCGGATATTTTTCTCTTTCTCTCTATACTTTCCCATGAAAGCTTGACAGAAACTTTTGTTTCCTCCTTTCGATCAGAGAATATTCATTTATAAAGATTAAACTGCTTTCCTTGTCAGTACAGTTCAACCAAAATCTGATGCAAATCTTTTTGGGAGCTGGTTGCAGCAGCCCCTAGAGCCCAGAAACCACCTGTGGTTCCCACACGAAAGCAGATTCCTCCAGGAGTCTGACAAATCAAACATTTGATGCACAATGCCAGGGCTTCCCAGCGCTTGTAAAATCCTGAGCCACATCTGTCAGTACAGAAAATTCTTCTTCATTATTCCTCAGACTTGATTGCTACTCTGGTGTTCAAAAGTTGCCTAAGTTGTCTTATCATCTGTGTGATGATTTTTTTTTGTTTGTTTGAGAACAGCAGAGGAAAAAGTAAGGTTATAAATTCCTGAGTTGTTCTCTGCATTAAATGTCCCTACTTAAGGACAGACAATATCAGACACACACTAGGGGAGTGGCTGAATTGAGTGGATTTTGAGACCCAGGGTGTTTCTTCCTCCTTGTCCACTAGAGGTGAGGTTTTGGGTTGAAGTTCTCTCAGAACCAGGACTGGCTCCAGTCCCAGTGCAGCTGATGCTGTTCTTCCCCACAGGTCAGTGCTCACCAGCAGTGAGACTGCGCCTGTACTCCAAAGGCATTAGCATGGGTCTCTTCACCAGCATCCACAGGGACACAAAACAGTCTGATCCTGTTCTTTGCTTCATATATCCAAATATCACAGGATATTCCCCTGTGAATATTGTCATCTAGCATTTGTGGCTGGATCCATACCTGTTACTCAGGCACTGGCTCAGACCTTGGGTCAAAGCAGAAAAATGTGTTCTGTTACTCAACCACTAGTCCAACTTGACTTCATCAAGTTACACATAAAGAAAATAGTTAAGCAAAGGTTTTAACAAAAAAAAAAAAAAAAACTCAATAAATGGCAAAGAAAATAGTTAAGTAAAGGTTTTAACAAAAAAATCTCAATAAATGGTGGTGACTTGGCACAGGCCTCAGCAAGAAAAGCATACTGACCTTTCTCTGCTATTCCTCCCTCCCAAATGAAAAAAACTGCCCCTAATTATCTTTCCCCTTTGGTCCCAGTTTGGTATTTCTGTTATCTCAGCCTAATTACTGATTAGCTGCATGTGGCCACCCCCAGCACTGCTGGCCTTGCTCCAAAAGGAGCCCAGTATTCCCTTTGGTTATCCCTGCAGTCTGACAGTCTCTTGCATCACTTCTCCTTAACCAGCTGTGAAATTTGGCCATTCCTTGTGGCACTGTCCATGACTTGTGTCAGCTTCTCACTCTGCTCCTTGCCATGCTCCACAGCTCCCCGTGGTCTGCTCAGTGCAGTGAGCCCTGGCCAGGGAATACCCGTGAGCCTCTGTCCAACCACTTCCTGCCAGAGGTCATTTCTGCATCTTAGAAAGGCAATTACACACCAGTTGACACATTAATGACATTTTAGTAGCAACTTGATCTTTTTGTGAATAGATATAAATTGGATTTTGAAATGTCAAAGTCCACCATGAAAGGTAAGTCTGGCTTTACTCCCCACTTGGCTTTGGAAACAGCAGCCCTGCCACAATTGCCACCTGACATGGACTGATGCCAAAAGAAAACATTTTAAATAATGTTGCTTAAAAAATAAATAAACCTGGCATTCACCAATAATGCAGTGCAAATATTGAAGAAAGCAGACAAGCATTTTGTGGTAAATAAATTTTCAACAAGGATGTTATAAAATAATCAAATTTCCTACAGACAAATGTCAGAGAACCTGAGTCTGAAAAGGAGCTCGGTGCCAAAGGAAAACAGTAGCAGGGCATAGACCTCCTGTAATTACCTCCTTGTTAATATAAAGCTTGATTAATAAAAGATAGCAATTACATAAGTCTAATTTCTCCAGCAGACAACCTATCTACATTCACCTTTGCCTAACTTCGCATCTGCTTGAATTTGTATCTCACAGCCATGTCTGACTGTGAGAGGCATTAAATACTAGCTGCCTGTCAGACTAAAACCCCTCTTTTTGACTTTGCCCTGAAAAAGATAAGAAAGGATTGCACAACCATGCTAAAAGGCAATTTCAGAAGCCACCACTTCTCAGCTGAGGTGAGGTAGGATTGCAAAGGTATTTTAAAGCCTCTGAGCTGAATCTATTTTTATTTTCAGGCTGCATGGTACTGGGCTGGCAGAACTTCTGTTCTGCACTGGGCTACTTCCATTAGGCTCAAGAGCCAAGCCCCCAGGGCACGAGCCCTCTGTCCCCAGAGATGGGGACAGGGTGCCAGTGCTCACATGCCCAGAGGTCACCCAGGCTGGCCGTGCAGAGCCACCCGGTCTGTGCAGCCACGCTCTCCTGCTGGCACAACCTACTGAAGAACCAACAGTTCTGATTTCTGATCCTAGAGGGGGCTAGCACGTTATGAGTCAGTGTTCCCACTGGAAAGCTTCCTGGTGAAGGGTAATTTGGTGTTGTCTAAGTCTTCTGCTGTGTTCTGTCAAAGGGGAATTTGATGACAAATCAGTCCTGTAATTTGTCTATTTTCACTCAAGTTCTAAATTTACATATACTGGCAAGGAACACAATTATTTTCTTGTTACGTTTAGAGAAACTTTGCAGTACTTCCTTGAGACATTCCTTTCCTCTCTTTTCCCATCTTTCCTGACCAAAAAAATGGCAGTGAAAGTGAACTTTCACTTTAGGAATACACATTTTTCCTTCAGTTTTTTTATCCAAAGTGTCTGCACTGACAATAAAGCTCCCTTTCTCTTCCCACACACATTTCATGACTTTAATGACACAGCAGCTTCTGAATTCTTCACTCCTGCCTCACTCTGCCACCTGCTGCTGATGGAGGTTTCTGTTCATTTGAATTCTACCTGCACATCTCTTGTTGGCTTTTCAGCGAGTACAGCATCTGTGCTGGCAGAACAGCTGCTACCTGAGGTTAATCAATCCTCACCCACGCTGGGAGTGGAAGAAGATTTTTCTCTTTGTTGCACAAGAACTGTTCAGTGAGATGTGAAACACCACTAACAGAGCATGTTTTGGTCCAGCTGCTTATTGCAAATCAATCTGCTTTTTTTCCTCAGGCACATGGATATTTTTCAGAATATCATAATGGCACTGGGTTAGGAGGTACTGCATGTGCCTAGCAAGTAAAGAATGATTCTGTGTGTGCTGCTGGTTGGTGTTTGTGTGAATCACTGAGTCCTGAAGTGCACATCCAGTTTGGGTACCAGGTGTACTCACAGACACATCTCTTTGCTGCTGCCCAGCCCATTCTCACAGCAAGGCCTGAACACAGCTTCAGAGACCTGACTTGGACCATCATGCACATCTTGTTCAATGCTAGAAAACAGCCCCTTGCAACCACAGATTCCCTGCAGGGAAGTTTCTTCTGTGCAAAGTTTTGTGCTTGCACAATAGTAGCAGATAGTTAATTTTAAATTACCATTCTTGCTCATCTCCACAGTCCATGTGACAATTTGAGAGGTTGTCTGTCTTTTCTCAGTTAAGTCCAACATACATTTGGGGAAAAGCAGATTTGTTAAAATGAAAAATCACCTGCCAAGCACCATAAATAAAACTTTACAAGACAGCCTAGGCTGGAATTAACCACTGAGGCGTGCAAGACCTCGTAAAATTTGTGTTTGACTTAGAACTAGTAAAGGGATTTAACTTCTTGAGATAGAACAGGATCTAGTTATTGGAATAGTTTGTAAAAAATGTAAGAGCAGAATACATCTGTATTATTGACTCTTCTTCCAATTTCTATTTTCTTTTCAATTGCCTCAAAGGACCTAAAGCTTGAGCCACTTGAAGAGGAAATTTTGGAAGAAAATGCAAGATCTGTAAGTGCTATTCAAGATAATGATTATGACATTTTATTTTAAATACCAGGTACTGAGAGCACACGTGGTCTCTTTCATTAAAAAATCATTTAAAAAACTTTATCCTCACCTTTTCCAGTGATAAGAATCCATTTTAGTTAGCAGAATACACTGTGCAAAAGACAACAGAACAAAATTTAGAATATGTGGGCAAAACTTTTATATTAACTTTTTGTAATGTTTTTAAATTATAGAGTGAGCCAAAACCTTAACACACATAAGGAGAAAAATTAATAAGATTTATCAAATTTAGCGGCATTGTTTATGGGGTGGTAGCTTCTCTGCTCCAAATGCTGTATGCATGCTTTAGCCATTGTTGTACAGCCTGCCTCCCTCCTAAACTGGTATAGGAAATCCTCTGAGGTAAAATGGAAGAGTATCTCATGCTCATTACAATCTATGAAACCAAAATTGTGACCAGAAATAAACTTACTGTTAAACAAGTTTAGGTCCCAAGACTGATACTCTAGCATCCCCAAATTCATGAACCTAACATTCATTCATTTGAACCTAAGAAAATGCAAATCAAATATACATGAAAAAATAATTTAATCACAGGAGTTGCATTAGACTTTTTTTTTAATGAGATTATGCAGTATTGCTACACAGACTGCTTATAATCCATGATATAACAGTAATCATAATCAAGGCAGAAACAAGTCAAAAACCTGCACCCGAAATTATGTTGTAGTCATTAAGAAGCACATAATGTTGCTTTAAATGTTCCATTAGTAAAGTGACAAGCTTCAATAGATTAATCAATAAATAAACTACTTGAAAGAGCTAAATGATAATTATTTTAATTCAGGATAGATAGGTCTTATGCATTGCTGACTGTTTCTATAGTCCTGTTTATAAAGACTGTTCATTTTCCTGCAGAATTATGGAGGGAAGACCCCCTCTCTATTCATCACTTAATGTGGGCTATCTTAGACATCTCAGTCAGGTGAGGGTCAGGGCTCTAAAAGGCAAAAGCCATGAAAGCACCTTAACAAAAGCAGCAATGCATCCAGTGCAGAATGTGTGGATAGTCTCTTATCCCAAACTCACCCCTGCTGGCATACAGATTCATCCAAGGAAACACACTGACTTTATTACTGAGCATCTCAAAGATCAACCTTTGCTTTGCCCTCTTCTGAAAAGACTCTCTCCTCCAGAGTTAGGACAATGGTCTGAAGTGGACACTCATGCCCAAACATAAAAGCCATGCTTGAGCATTTCTACTTCTCCACTCCAGATCACTAAAACAGGCAGTGCAAACTTCAAGGGAACTTTTGTGGGTTTTCTTCTATGATTGTGGTTTTGTTGTTTCATGATAGACTTTTCTGAGTTTAAAGTACAAGGAATTCAGAGGAAGCTGTGGCAGTAATATTGTCATGGTTTTGTACCAGCACATAATGATCGTTCAGCACCAAATGTCTGTGAAAGAAGAAAAAGTGGAGGAATTCCGTCTTGCTCTGAAGCAGTACCTGGAATCTGCTTCTGCTCAAGGTGGCTGCTTGCAGTAAGTACAGGGTTACTGTCCTTGGGCTGAAGGAAGAAATGTAGTCTTTTTTCTTTAATAACTTGGATTATTCATGAAGACAGAACCTATGACACCTTTCTTGGTGGGTTATGTGAGTGTGTAAGACAGAGCTTTTTAAAGACACCTAGAACTAGAAAGAGATGTCAGAATGTGCAGATTTTAGGTACTATCACAAAATGACTGTACATACCAAAGATGCTAAACAATCTTTTCAGGCTTCTTAGCTCTGCAGGTCTTCATGACTTCTGGAAGCTCCTAGGCTGACATTCTATATTGGAAAAGTCATTTGCCATCCTTCATTTATGCTTACCTGGAAAAGGAGCAACTTACCAGCTTGTTTGCCAGTTCTCTGCTTGGAAGCTTCCAGAACCTTCTCTTTAGGCTGTCATTGTAAAATTTTAATTCATAATAAAGAATTGGAAAAATTAAAAAGCAAAATTTTCACTGAAACTGTTTCTGCTTTGCTCCTTTTAGAACTAATAAAACATTAGAGCTGGGTTAAGAATAAATTTTAGTGATTTACCACTGTACTTAATTTCTGAATTTAACATACTGGAGAGATCTACTATCATACATACTACAGACCATTATGAAAAAGGTATTTTTGTAATGTATACATGACACAGAATCTTCCCATCTAGTCAAGGGCGTCAAAGACTGCCTATCACATCCCTAATTTATGATTCTTGTTGCTGTGAGATTATCACAATTAGGATTTTATCAGCAGTGTTCACACAGACCAGAAAAATTAAGCTGGAAGAAGAGTGATCTTTCTGCATTTGTTCACTTGTAAAGGCAGACTGATGAGGACAATAAAATTCTCTTGTTGGCCAAGAGAAGGGAAAAAACCCCAATAAGAAATCCTCTCAGCCTCCTCCCAGAAATGAACATCCAGCAAAACACTGTAGTGACTGCAGTGGTTCACTTGTAAGGGCAGACTGATGAGGAAAATAGAAGGAAAAAAACCCCAATAAGAAATCCTCTCAGCCTCCTCCCAGAAATGAACATCCAGCAAAACACTGTTGTGACTGCAGATTTGTTGGGGAAGAGAGATGACATGACTTCAGAATGCAAGTTAACAAATGGTGAAAGAAAGGAACTTTCTTTCCCAAGTTTGCAGGCATTTGTTAAGTCTGTAATGCCACCTAACAGATGGGTTTTGCTGGAGCTATAATTGACAGTGACTTGTTTTTTCTAACAGCTTTTGATATTTTTGCCATTTTTCCTTCCACTTTCACATAGAGCAGGAGAAAACCAATAAATCACAAAACATTGCTGACTACATTATGAAGCATAAGCTGAGACCAGTTTTCAAGCACATCATTAGTGAGGTCAGCAATCTCACACTTGGGCACATGGAAAAATCTGCATATATACTTTCTGTGCTATTTATCTAAACACCAAATTGAGTGCCCAAGTGAATAAGTACCCTACACAGTATAAAGTTTTTATGCTCTGGATAATAAGTAGGATGGTTCTGTGTAGAGGATCAACAGATATCCTGTGGTCATTTTTCAGTCCTGAGAAACTATTACTTGAATAACTTAAGAACAAGTAAGTAGTTCTCTAAATATTATTTTTAAAGTGTATCTGCAGCAGATGTCAGCCTATATGGCTTTTTACTCCACAATATGTATATTTAATTTGCTCCATTTGCTTTCAAAGCACCTAAATTCTATGATGGATGCATCTCTCATACAAAAGGATAACTTCTATTTATTAGATGATCTTCCCTGAACCCCTGTTTGATTAATTTTCTGTTTAGCATTTATTTAGACAAATTACACTATTGGAGCAATATAAAAAATGAATTTCATAAAAATATTACACAAAAATAAATATACAAGGGTTTTTATTTTTAAAAGCTCAGATAATTTGAAGTATATGATCATTATGATCACTCATTTGTTAAGTTTATTAATGGGGTTGGCATTTGATTTGATTTTCTTGTTTTGTTCTGTGGAGTATTTTTCAAAAATCACTGCATTTATTCCTACTGATAACAGTTAGGAATAAAATGTATATGTCCAATAATTTTGTTTTGTTTCATTAAATTAGTTCTATTGTGAAATTTTTAGTGTTTCCATACAGAAGTTTCCGAGTAATTTCCACTTCATTGTTTATGAGTTCTGGGAAAACAGAAATGCCTGGAATAGGTAAGTGTCAGGACTTTGTTACTTAGATGGTGGCTTTCCTTTTTTTTTTTTTTGTTGGTAATACATAAAGTTTTGAGGGTTAGAAATCAGTTGTGTAGAAAGATTGAGTACAAATTGCTTTAAATACTGCTAATTGATCTTTTGCTAAATATGTCACAATTAATACTTCAGAAAAATACTTTAGGTGCTAACAACTTGAATATACTGAAACAAAAATAAAAATGCCAGAAAGACAACAGTGATTATTCAAAGCAGAAACACTACTAAAGCGAGGACATAAAGATATAGCATTAGTTGGATGTTAGTTCATCAGAGACAGAAAACCAGAAAGACAGCAATAGCACCAGTTTCATGATAAGGAAGAAAAAACAAAAAGACACAATTATTGAAAGATGTGCCAGCCCGCAGCAGCCATCAGTAGCTATGGGGAGCTCTCCCAAAACTTCCCAATCCACATCACAGGAACCCATCCAACAGACACCCAGAGTGTCTCTTTTGGGCCCAAAATAGAAATTATTAAACATCCTACCAGCTTCTAGCCTCCAGCAGGCAGATGACTAAGGAATTGAGTAGAGACAAAAGGATTGTCCTTATCTACATTTAGTTACAACACTCAAATACACCAACCCTGTGATTCTGAATCTGTAGAGAGAACCTGTTCTCGGGGAGATGGAGAAGTCTCTTGCAGCTTTGTTGCTTTCCTTTCAAACAAACCCCCAGTTTTACTGGGTTTCCTATCACAAAGACTCAGAAATACTGGTGGCACATGTCAGCACTGTACTGGGTCACAACCAAGAGATGAGCATCAGACTGACAGCGAGCTGCACAGAAGAAAACCTGGGTTTAATATATCGTGAAGGCACTTCATAGCTTATCTGGTCTCCTCTCCCACTATCACTGTAAGTTTTTAAGCACAGAATCTCTGTACAGCATTAATTGTGAAATTTCTTATGCTCATTTAAAAAATTGTTATGCTCATTAAAAAAAAAATAAGCCCCTTTAAAAAAACCTGTTATATTTTTATTTTTCACAATTATTTAGCCACCTTCAAATGAATTACAGCAAGGCATTCCAGAGAAGTAATGTGGATTTCTTGGAAACCCCAGAGGTCATCACAACAATGCTAGTCCCTGGTAAATATCAACTTTTCACATTATTTTTTTGTGTTATATGTGAGTGATTCTATTAGTGTGCTCCATATGCAAGACCACTGCATAATATCATCCTTATTCAGATCTTCTTTGGTAAAGTATAGAGGAGAAAAGGACTCCAAATATTTCTATTTTAACCACATAAATAGAAAATGATCAGCAAGGAGATGACCCACGGTGCTTTATTTTATACAGCGTGAAGGTACACCAACATACACTATTTAAGAAAATATCTAGAATAAACAATACTATTTGTGAATGGTAAAATAGACCCCATTTAAGATTTTCAAGGAAAAAAATGCTTTCTGATTAAGACTCCAATTTATTCCTCCTTACATTGACTGAAGGGAGCCTTAATTACCTATAATCGATATTTACTAACCAACTTGTACACACTTCCTGCTGTGTTTAAAAAAAAAGGTGGTAAAGATTCCAAATTATTGTTCTTAATACAAACCAATGGGCATGTAACATCTTTCTCCTAGAAACAGGAGTTAAAAGACACAGTGCAGGTGCAGGATGAAGCAAAGAAAGCATCAGTCCCATATTTACAGAGAGAGGACAGTAGCTTTTTTTATTTTAGGGAACACAAATCTATTACAATGAAGCCCTAATTTCCTCTGTGTCTGAGGACAGACTAAATTTAAAATAATAAAACCTCACTTAGTAGAAAAATAAATGTAGTCCTGTACCCAGAGTTTGTCCTTAAAAGAAACCAGCCAAGACATCTTCTGATCTCATGAGCCTGATGTGGACACAAAATTATATGCCAGGGACTCCTGCAGAATTAGGAGATTGAAGTTAATGAACCTAGTATCTCTGCAAATCTTGTATTTTGCTGGGATATTGCTGGATTTAAGACAAATTTGATTGTAGGAAACAATGAAGCCTTTTCCCAAAATTCCTTCTGTCCAAGAGACTGCACATGATCCAGCAGTGTTCCAGGGTAGTTTATTCATGGGTAAAGTACAATTAACATAAAATAAAATGTAAACATAATTTTTAAGTGCCTGAATATGGAAGTGTCTGAAATTGGATTCCAAGTACTCATTAAAGCATTTACTCTGCCTGCTAAGAAGGATTTCAGTCTGCAGCACTCTGTCCTGGCAGACAGTTACCATAGAAACAGCATTTCTCACTGTGCACTCCTTGCTGGGGTTGGGGGCTGACTGGGGGCAATGGGAATTAATGCATTCACAGTTCACAATTTTATACATTTCCTGTAATTTAGAAATCTGTGCAATGATTTGAACTCTGTTTCATGGAAAGATCTTCCCACAACTGATCTATACAAATCATATTTGCGTTCGAAAGACAGAAAATGATCTTGAAGTAAAAAATGATGGCTGCAATCCTACCAGTACACTTCACAAAAGAATTTTAGACACCATAAAGTGGTATCACTGTAAAATCAGAAGGGAAAAAAACCTAAACCTATCTGCAGTTAGAACACAGATAGGCTCTATTCTAAAAACAAATTTACCCTAGCTGAGAAACTTCCAAAATTCATTTGCACATCTGGGTAGGTAAGAACTGAATCTATTGCAAATTGTAACCTGAATCTGATTCATTCAAAGTTTACAACCTGTAAGTCTTTAACAATTAACTAAAATTAATAAGGATCCACTTATGTGGCCAAGAATGATTCGGGAAGACAAGTTTTGAAGACTGCTTGATCCAGCATTATCCCAAAGAAAATTAATTTATCATCAGTTAAGAGGAACCACAAGCTATTATAACCACTCATACAGCTGTTAACTCACCCGGTTTCTTCAGCCAATCTACCAGGGTGGCATGAATCATTCAGTTCACATTCAGCAAATATCTCATTTTTATACAAGATCTGGACTTGGCTCTAGAGAACCTTTGGGCAAAGAAAACAAGACAAGGGGAAACCACTTATAACACTATAACCCATGAAATAAATAGTTAAATTGGCATTTTTGGGGACTGATGTGCATTAATCCATTGATGTTTCAATGACGACTAGGTTCATAGCCTGAATTTGAGTATTTTCTCATCATGTTTCTTCATTAATAATAATTTTCATTAAAATAGTATTAATGGAAGCATTTATGGATACATGAATAAGTTCTGCTACTGAATTTGTGTAGTATGACATCTACGTAGCCTAGAACACCCCTTTACTAAGGGCACTTGGCATCTCAGATACAGTCACAATTCCTTTCCCTCCCTCCCATCTCTCTCCATAAATCTTGTGGTTCCTCTCTGCATAAGGTTCATTTCAAAAGGCCAAAGGCTAGAGACTGTGGGGAAGAAACACAAATTGGTTTCACCACAACACTACCTATAATCTGGTGATTACAGAACTTTTTATGGGAATGACATTTTACAAGTCCATCAATCTCTTACTTTTGAGGACAAAAAGTTATTAATTCCTAGAGTTGTGTAAAAAACCCATCAGATTTGAATAATGTCACCAGGAAAGTGAGTCATTAAAGCTAACAAAACCACTCAGGGAACACAATGCTTGGCTTAAAAACTGACACAGCAGCACAGGACTGAGGATTTATTTGGTTTGGTGTCAGGGTGCTTAATTCTATGCAGCTGCACCTATGACACATTAATGCTTCTTTGGATGTTATCAAAAAGAGATATAATTCTTGTGATAAAGCCACCTTCCCACCACTTACACTCAGCTCTCCCATTATTCTGAGTATTTTTTCTCACCAGTATTAGCTGCATATATAAACAAACATTTAATCATATACGTTATAGGTATTTTATTTAGAATTTTTACCAGAGGTCAAAAAAGAAATGCAATTTATGCTAAGAAATAAATAAACTCTGCTCTCTTTCAGCATCGTGGTGGGCCCTCAATAACAACTAGAAGCTGTGGTTACAAGTAATGTTAATGCTATATTGTCTTTCATAACACTAACATTCATATTGCAGTGTACAGGTGAAATTACGATGTGATAACATTTATTATGGATGGGATCTTTTCCACTTTATCCATTCTAAAATCCGGAAAACTGTGCATTTATTACCTTTTCTTCTTGTGACTAGTTCAGTGAAATGATGCATTCTAAAAACTGAAATAAGACAACTATGATAAACTATTTATTTCTGTGACAGTCCAAACTGTCACAGAAAAGTACGTCTTGAATGTATGACTAAATATTTGTGAAAAGTTTTATTACTGCATTAATAAACAACCATTACTTACTGCTGCTGTGGTCTCCTTTTACAAGAGAAAGAAGTGTGAACCTGAACACACATTTTCATACATGTCGGCAGAGAACATTACTTTACACTCCTTCATTACTGCTGCTATAGTCTCCTTTTACAAGAAGTGTGAACCTGAACACACATTTTCATACATGTCGGCAGAGAAGCTGTAAGTCATTCATGAAAAGAATAAACAAAGGGAAAACTCTTTGTGCTAATACAGAACTTCCCCCCACAAGTAAGACAAGGCTGTCTTCTCTTAACAGACTCTTAGCCCTTACCCTCCCAAGAGGAAACACATCTGCCTATCTCTTGTCACTACAGATCCCCAGACTGAACACTGCACAACTTCTATGTCCTGACCACTCAGAATATATTTTCTTTAGATCTCAGGTCACCGCAAAATCATTAGAGAAACTGCAGTTACAGCATAAATAGCATAAACCTTGAGCTTGTTTGGAGGTTGGTTCTAGCAGGGGCCAGGGCTTAGCAGATCACCACAAAATCATTAGAAAAATTGCAGTTACAGCATAAATACCCATAAACCTTGAGCTTGTTTGGAGGTTGGTTCTAGCAGGGGCCAGGGCTACTGTATCCCCTTGACCAATGAACAGCGCCATCTCCATGGGGAAGATCACCCTCTTCAGCCAGGGTGCACCTTTGGTAGGGATGCACTTGGAGCATGGAGAAGGAACTGGACACCCACCGGGCCAGCTGGGTCAGCTCAAACAGCCTGGTCATCAGTGGGGTGACAGGGGCTGCAGCCAGACTGCCCTCACATCCAGAGGTCTGGGGGTCCTGGTTGATTGAATATGAGCCAGCAGTGCCCTGGCAGCCAGGAGGACCAACCATGTTCTGGGGGGCATCAGGGACAGCATGGCCAGCAGGGCAAGGGAGGGGATTGTCCTGCTCTGCTCTGCACTGGGGCAGCATCACCTTGAGTGCTGGGGCAGTTTTGGGCACAACAATATAAAAGAGACATAAAGCTATTTAAGAGTGTCCAAAGGAGGGCCATGAGGATCATGAAGGGCCTGCAGAGGAAGCCATACAAGGAGTGGCTGATGTCACTTGGTTGGTTCAGCCTGGAGGAGACTGAGGGGAGACCTCATTGCAGTCTGCAACATCCTCATGAGGAGAAGAGGAGAAGCAGGCACTGATCCCTTCTCTCTGGTGACCAGTGACAGGACCCAAGGAAACAGCATCATGTTGTATGAGGGGAGACTGAGGTTAGGCATTAAGAAAAGGTCCGTTACCCAGAGGGTGGAGGAACACTGGCAGTGGTCACAGCACCAAGCCTGAAGAGTTCAAGCAGCATTTGGACAATGCTCGCAGGCACATGGTATGAGTGTAAGTGTATCCTGTCCAGGGCCAGGAGCTGGACCTCAATGATCCTTGTGGGTCCCTTCTAGCTGAAGATATTCTGTGATGCTGTAAGACCTGGAAGTCGCAATACTTGATTGCCTAGCAAGTCATGGTGCTGTCGCCTGCATCTGAGGTGTGCCCTCCAGCCCAAGAATGGGCAAGCAACCACTGTAACCTCACACCTCCACAGCAGGATGACAAGCTCTACATGCCACACGGCCACTCTCCATCCAGTCAGCAGTCTAAGCTTACAAACAGTACCCAAAAAGAAACTTAAATGACATGTTCAATAAAATACCGTCTTGTTTAGTTTTATTTCATCTCAACAAATAAAAGTTACCATATGAAATTGAAAAGGGGGAATTCCAAGTACAAACAAGCAGTCTTCATTGCAGTAAGGTCCTGTATTCCAGAAATAACAGCAAGGTCTGAGCTCAAGACTAAGAAAGGCATCACAATTAGGTTCCTGCAAGCAACCAAGGCAATTTGGTTCTTTTTTATCTGTAGAGTTCTGAGGCAAGTTATTTTCTAAACAAAGGCATCTGGTGCATGTGAGTTACTGTAGAGGAGACCAGCTGGTCTCCAGCTCCCAGCTGAGGATGACAGGTGTTACCTACTGTTTGTGAGTTACACCCGGCCCATGCAGCATGTGGGCTGGAATTCCAGGTGAGTCTCAGGTGACACCAGATGCCTACCTTTAAGCAACTGAATCGAGCCCTTTGCCAATAAAGTTCATGAGGCCTTGGTTCTCCACACAAATGTGGATGCCACAGAGGGATACCTGCACATCTGAATTTATGTGCCCACATTACAGAAAAATTTCACCTTTATCTCTCTCACAGCAACTCAGCGAAAGTGAATGCTTTTAACACCAAAATCCAAGGCTTTCCTGTATTGACATGATCCAGCTACCACTGTGCCCATTTGTAAAAGGGCACTGAAATTGCCCCCACAAATGACATCAGTGTAAGTCTAAAGGTTTCTTGTCTTAATCAAAGTAAATCTACTCATACTCCTGAACAACTGGCTGCTGTTTTTCCTATGCCAAGATGTTAGGCTGGTGTATAGCATGGGGTTTATTGTCACTACTGACCCAGCAACAAAGGAAATAGTGACATGTGACACAGAATCAGGGAAAATCCTTAAGTGAAAAATTACATACTACACTAAGGTTTGTAAAATTTTTCATTTTCACTGGAAAAAAATGTACTAAAATCATTCTTACAATAACCTGCTTTAGAACTTCATGTCAACTAGGTGCTGGAAGGGTGTAAAAAGTTGTAGGAGGTCATATGTCCTTATAACAGTTACTCATCTTTGTATATATACTAGTAAACAAACACTTTGATGAATCATACACAAGAAGAAGTTTGAGAAGAGTCACTTGGGAGTTTTGACAGCTACACACAGAAACTGTCTTCGACACATATTGGCAAAAAGATCCTTATGACTCACTCTAAGAAACTCCCAGTGATTAAAAACTAACCAATATTTATTTGCATCATTCAGGAAAAGAAATCTAGTGCCGATTCAACACAACTTGACAGGTTTTTGTATTACTGCAATTGCCATTTAACAGATCCTCATTTAGCTTTCGTTATCATTTGTGACAGAGGGTAAAAAATTGCCTGCAGTACCCAAATGATATTATTATAGGTCTAAATATACATTTAGAAGTTAATTCTATTCATACAAGATATTTATTATTGATGCCTGTCAACTGATAGATGCTTTCAGGAAGTACCTGAACTACTGCTTTCCACTTCAGAATTGGATACCATACTCCTTTAAGGAAAAACACAGAATCAAGTCTGCGCTGGTACACCCATCAACCCATATGAGACAGGATTAAACTCTGTCTTGTTCCTCAGTTTTTTCTCTTACTTTCACTTTTCAAAGTCAAGAACACTGGACAATTATTTACAAAGAACTTTAAGGAATGCAATGCATAGGCAGGTCTCCTGTTCTGATGCAGGATGAGAGAAAATTTCTCTTGTTAGTGAAATTATTACTAATATGAGACTTCATACTTTGAAACCAGGTAGATGTATCAACAAGATATTAAAGAATATCTTGTGTCAAGATGAAGATTTCAAATTAACAAGAAGCAACTCAAGTTTCATAAAAAAAAAAACCCAAAAAACCGTCTCTACTACTAGAGGAGTACCCTAAGACATCTGAGATTTGACACAGCCAGTACTTGTTGTTCCATCTTTATTCTGAGGGAGTTGGGAGCAATCAAAAAGTCCAAGTCAAGTATTTATTTAGAATTTATGGTCAGGCAAAATATCTGGCTACATAACACAAACAATTCAATGACAAAATTCTGCCACACCAATATGTAAAATTATTTATTTTCACTTTAATCTTATTGCCATTTCAGGCATTACAAATTAAAGGTTTGTCTCAAAGCATTCAGGCAATTACAGGAAGAAACAGGCATTTTCATAGGTTTCACAGGGTCGTACTTCCATCTGCAGGCACCCAAGTACCTTCAAAAATCTTGAAGACGTACATCAAATGTAGCTCCCTCAGTGACAGACTTTGGATCTTCCAAACAACATGTCACTTCTTGCAGATGTCAATGAAAGGTTTGTTCTTTACCTGTAAGACAAACCAACCCAAATTACTTCCATTATAACAGATCACTTAAAGTTTTCATTTCAGTCTGCTTGTAATTCTTTTTTACTCCACATACATGTCACAATTTGGAAATTTTTTTTATTATAGCAAACAGTTCTATTTTCATTAATCATAGCGACTTCATATAAAATTTTCCTATTGTGTGTCAACACAGTAGTAACATCTGTTCAAATGCTGAGCTATGTATTGGTAGCCCTGATCCCCACATCTCAAAAAAACCCCAGTGTCCTTTGGGACAAATGCAGTCCACAGTCCACCAACTGTAACAACTGCATCTCCCTTCTACAAGTCATTCTAGGAAGTTTTCTTCATCTGACAATACAACTTTTACTCATAAATGGGCACATACTTCAGCAGTGGCTTCAGAAATTTAGAACTAGGAAAGTCTTAGATAGGCATGAACTGTCTGAATACTCAGTTCAGCAGCAAACTGTTGAAAACCACCTGCTCCAAAATACAAGCTCACTGACACAGTAGGATTGTCTGTTTGTCATTAGAAATTTATTTGCAGGCCACCTTCTGCCACTTTTAAGCATCATCCATTTGATTTACACATGCATCTCGTTAATCCCTCTTGTTTCTGTGCAGAAAAACAGATGCTATGATCAATCAATTGGCTGGAATTTTGGCTGAACTAGGTGATCTCACTGATTTCTGTACAGGGACCCTCCTTTTTCTTAGGAATGTAAACATCTGAAAGTATAGATTACCAAAATTTGCCACTCTTAGAACCACAGGCGGTGGGAGAGGGGGGGAAGTTAGGAAATTAAAGAGCTGAGACTTCTGAATCGGAAAGCAGGTTTTCAAACAAACAAAGCTTTCATCTTGAGGGTAAAGAGAAAGATATAAAAAGTAAGATCAGGGAAAGGTGATTATGGTCATACATTAGTTAATTTTTGTTTTTTTCAAAGGACAGAAATTTTTAAAGTTTAAAAATGCCTCCAAATGTGGCCAACACAGTAATCATGTGGACATACTTTTCCATA